AGGCCAGTTTTCCATAAATTTGTGTAGTAGTGTTTCCTTAAAGAGTGCAAGCAAATTCATTATGCATATTCATGGGCTACACATGATGAATTCTTTTGATTTTAATTTAACATGTAAATGACCCAAGTACAGAAGTAGAAGACTAAAGGTGGCATGTTTGTTCTCCCCTATGAAGTTTTTTCAAAGTAATTTATGTTTGATGCAAAAACATCTGCTAAGCATGGACTATAAAAGATGGACGTAGCTTCTGGTCTGAAAAGTGAATCCCGTGCACAAATGCTTTAAAGCTGCACTTTTCTTAATGGCCACCAGGGGCTGATACCCATTGTTGGTAAAAGACCAGTCCTGTACAGGTCTGTGGGAATAACGGCCTTCATATGAGACCTTAGTAAATACCTGATGAGTTTATGTGGTCAATCACTCGTTTGAAATGATGGTGAAGTATATTTTTTTAAAACAGGATTATTCGGGCTAATGATTTGTGATTAACAAGTTTTTAGCCAATGAGCGTTCGGTTTTGCAGTTGGATCTATCCGGCAAGATGGCGAGAAAGCTCATCTTGACAGTTTTAAACTTGACTTCACAAACCAGCAGAGCACATGAGAGTAGCTGCGCTTTGGGTAAATTCAGAAAAGTAATCACTGATTTTTCTGGAGTTAATTATGCCTAATGGAAATGTTGCAAAAAACCTAATTGACGACAACACAGACATCCATTTGTTCGTCCATCAATCCATCCACCTGTCCAGCCATCTGTCTATGCATCATCTCCATTATCTTATCTGAGGTCTGGTTGCAGTGGTAGCAGGCTAAGCAGATTATACCAGACATCCTTCTTCGCGCTCAGCCTTTCCAGTTCCTCCAAGGGGATTCTAAGGTGTTCCCATGGTAGTAGACCCAGATGTCAACCCAGCAGGTTCTGGGTCTTCCCCAGGGTCTCTTCCAGTTGGATGTGCCTGGTCTCCTAACCAGATCATCAAACTTCCTCAACTAGCTCCTTTCGTTTCATAGAAGCAGCAGCTCTACTCTAAAGATCCCTCTGGATATCTGAGCTCCTCATCCTACCGCTAATGCTGAGCCCAGCCACCCAGCAAAGGAAGCAAAGCTGCTTGTGTTCACAGACTTATTCTCGGTAATTCAGAAGTTGAATCGATGAGCTGAGCGTGTAGGGATCATCTACAAAGTGTAACAGGAAAAACTAAGATACTTCAAACACACATCACTGGTCTTCTGTTGGTTTTGCTACTTTAGTGTTGGAATAAAGACTTTTTCGAGTCACTTTTGTACTGTTTCATGAATATCCTGCAGCTTAATTCATTTTCTTTTTTGTTGTATTGGTTTTCTGTGTTGAGCAGTCAATGGGAGTTGTTTGAGTGTAAATGTTCCTCTGTACAGTTCGAGGGTGCTGTGTGGGATTGGTGAGGAAACACTTGGTGTATTGTCACACTGACTTTTAAATCCAAAGGAGCTGTAATAGAAATTGAGCTCATTAGTGCTGATCACGAAGCCCGCCGTGTCTGTGATTTATATGTGGTGGGATTAAGGAGGCGTCACGCAGTTTAAGTGACTCCAGAAACATTTGGCTGTCCATTTAATCTATTCCTTCTCAGCATGCTGTTACACAGACTTTCCAAAATGAGCTGTTTGCCATTTAGAAGGAGAAAAACATGACTTTTTTTTCATCTCATTTCACTCCTGATTGACAGAACATTTACACAAATTATGGGGCTTTTCAGCAGGATGGTATTTAACAGAAATGTTTGGCTGACAAGATGATGGTGATTCACAGTAAAGTGTAGATTCTCATAACTTCACAATAATAAATACTAACCTGTACGTAGTGTTTTCGTCCCCCCCATAATGAGCATGCCCTGTAGTATTTTAGAGCTTTAAGAACAACTTGAAACATCCTGACTTTGGCTTTTTTTAAAAAAAATTTTTATGTCTCTCCTTTAGCACCAAACATTTATATTTAGGTGCAAATAACACACTGCTACTTGCAACGAAACACTGCTGGCACATCTCAGTAAATTTTAACTCAAATACCAAAAAAAAGACGTTTATCAACAAAAAAGACATTTTCTTACCTCATTTTTGGTGGAGGTAAGAAAAGACAACCTGTGAAAACACCTAAAAGTTTTACAAGTTTAGACACGTTCAACCTAAAGGAAACTGCTTGCTTTAAGCAGAGCCATTCTACTTCCTACTGATCCCATTGTACAGCAGTTGGCTGAATTGAAGCCTAGCTAAAATACATATTTGATTGCATGCAAAATGTGGAAGTAAACAAAACATTTCTTACAGAGAGGCCAATTTAGCCATATAAGCTAGCTTTCTGCTAATTAATGCTGGTTGGTCATCTAAGGTTTTACAGGGTGTTCTTCCTTGACGGTACCCATTTACAAGCAATAACTTGAAGTCAGAAGCATAATCGCTCCACAGCAGAAACTTCCATGTGTGCTTAGGAAACATCTGGATTTAGTAGTTTATCACGAGGTGTTAAATTAAAATGACAGATGATATAAAGTGTTTTATCGTACTGTGATCTCCCCAATATTAACAGAAAGATGTTTCACTACAATTGAAACCCACAGAGGGAGAACAAAGAAATGTTCATGTTGTCAAACCCTTGGTTAATAAATGATCAAAATTATAATTTTTTTTTTTTAACCCATGAAATGTAATCCGACAATGTTCCTGCTCACTCTGCAGAATGTGTGTCTTTTCTAAAAACTCCAAGTCCACAGAGTGTATGTTCACGGTTATATTTAAAGTTCTTTATTGTAACTTATGGTGTGTTTACATTAATAAACATTAACTCAGTGCTGGCTTTTTGCGTTTGGCCCTATGTCAAAAAAGGCGTATTATGTGAAATCAGTCGTCTGTGTCAGGATGCTTCACTGACTCATGTTTCAGGGTGTTTGCTTTAATAACGGTAGATGACTAGTGACTGTCAAAGCTGGACTGGAGATTCTGTTTGTTTGCTCAGTACATATATAGAATTGTTATAAATGACACACAAAAGATGATGAGAGCAAACCTGTGGAAGAATCTGTAACAGCCCCCAAAAAGAAATCCAAAGCAAAACTTTTTTTATTTGGGGCAAAATCTGCAAACTTTTTAAGCATTAAAAAAAATAAATAAATAAAAGATTTACTGGCGATTCTGTACATGTGTTGTTGGTGTCCTCGAGGCCACTGAAACTGAAGCTAAATTGGTAATCAAAATCAAAATAACTTCCCAGAGAGGGATGCAAGTGGTGAGACTTGCTTATAGAAAGACTTTGGCTTTATTCCTCAGTGGTTCTTGTGCTGGCATCACAATAACTGGGAATGATGGCCATGTCATTCCTGAAAATAGAACCATTTCTGGGAATTTTCCTATTCTAGAAGCTCAAACATTAGAGAACATGCTCATTATGGGGAGAGATTGCTTTGACATTTGGGAATGCGGGTGCACAATGGTTAGCTTTCAGTCATTTTTATTTTTTAAATAACCAACTAATGGATACAACTTTGACAGTCAGTGACTCTAAATCTGAATAAGAGTTTTAACTAAAACTTTTATTCTTTGCTTTAGACTTCGCTTATGACTACATTTCAGTGGCGCTGGAGGTGGTTAGTTCAGTAGCCACTAACCAGGTAGTCCCAGTGCTTCCTGACTTCCTGGTGGCTAGCCTGACCCCAGATAAGCTTGTCCTGAGGTCAAATGTACTTTACCTTCTGTCTTGGACTCCACCTGCTAACCAGAACCTTCAGTAAGTGTTAAACTGGTTTTTGTGCTGTTCCACTGAGGAGACTGAGACTCTAGAGAAGAATAACGAGTGCTAGCGTCAGTCTAAGCCCACAGAGTTTGAGTTCGCTTTGAGAATCAGCTGATTTGTTTGTCATAAAGAATCTTGCAGCTAAAATGTTTGCAGATGCAAGCTTCGTCCAAGCTGCCAATGCCACAAATGAAATCTGATTCTGTGGGAAACACTTAAATTGGATAGATTTCCACGAACATTTCCACATGCTTATAAGATCCTGCTGCAATGTCCAAATACCAGGAAGGCTAATGACATTACCATTAGCTACAGCTGCTCTTTGTGTGTGGTGGTATTTGGAGAATAGTGGTATGCTAAAATGCGCTTGCTTATTTTAACAGCTTATGTTTTATATTTATTAGAAATAAATAAAACATGAGCTCTAAAATAGAAACAAAAAAGATCTTGATGTCACACCGGACTGCAGAAAATCCAATTTTGATGGGAATTTCATCTTACCAGCACGTTACACATCAAGTGCTTTATTTGATTAAGAACTCCAAAGGTCTGGATGCACATTTTCCCATCAGCTGCTGTTGTGGCGTCTCTAGGACACTTCTCAGGAATTTGTTTTCAGGAACAAACAGATCACTGAGCCGGTCTGTTTTTACACCTATTGTTCTGTTCCCACACGTTAACCAGGATGCATGGGTACTTAAAGGTTTTTCACAAGCCAGTCTGAGTTTTCACAGAAGTCTCGTCACCATTGTAAACCACTTCCTTGATGGGTTTCTTGTCAGTCAGACAGGTGGGAAAATCAACATTGTAGGTCGACGATGTGGGGTTTGTGTGAGAGGCTGAGACAATCGTAAACGTTTTTGAAATGAAAAATTGTAATCGGTGTCAGAAGCCCTGGGAGCCGACTCTGCCCTGCAGTTAGTTTTGGAAAAACTGGATCATGACATGCTTTCTCAGCACAGCTCTGATGAATCTGATCCTCAGTGGACACACTGGTCATGAGGCTGTGAGACGGGTATGACAGGACTGGAAAAAATGTGACGTTCTGAAGGCAGAGAATATAGCAATGTTTGTTTTGACCTTAAATTGAGATTGGGAAAATATTCTGCTTTTAATTTAGGTCTGTGTATAAATACAGACTTTATGTTTGTGCAATCTGGCATCGTTTTCAAGTGAGGAGTATGAAGAGATGCAAAGGCACTGCAAAATGTAATGAAGCCTGTTTTTCTGTCTTACAGAGAGGAGGTTCACAATCACTGTGTGCGCTGGAGGAAGAGGTTTACCTTTGTGTCCAAAATGAGCGCCAACCCCCACACTGGAGTTCTGGACCCGTCTGTCTGCAGGGTGTCAGTCAGGAAGGTACGCCTGTCAAAGTGGCCTCGTCAGCTCTGGGGACAAACTCTGGGTTCCTAAGCTGCTCAAAAAGATGAAGGGAACACTCGATCGCAGCAAAACACAAAGTCAGTTAAACTTCAGGGAGATCAGCCTGTCCAGTTAGAAATAATTCAATTCAAAATTTATTTGTATAGCACATTTAAAAACAACAGTTGACCAAAGTGCTTCACTATCGGTTAAAAACAAGAGAAAACAATAGAGAAACAAATATAGATAAATTAGAAACGAATACAGCTAAATAAGAAGACGGTGAATTAACAATAAAAACATAAAACAGGCCTGATGGTGCTCATACTGAACTCGAATTTAAAGCCAAAGTAAAAAATTGAGTTTTAAGACTCGATTTAAAAGACGCTGAAGTACGAATCTCCTCTGGCAGATTATTCCAGAGTCTGGGTGCTGCTACTGCGAAGGCCCGATCTCTATGCTTCAATCGAGACCTTGGTTGTGCTAAGTGCATCTGGCGAGATGATCTCAGTGCTCTTTTGGGGTCATACATGTGGAGGAGTTTGTTTAAACAAACAAATCAAACAAACAAAAAACAAAAACTAGGCGCCAAATTATTTAAAACTTTAAAAGTAAGTAAAATAATCTTAAACTCAATACGATATTTTACAGGGAGCCAGTGTAAATTTGCTAAAACTGGAGTGATGTGTTCATACATTTTAACACCTGTTAAAAGACGTGCAGCGGCATTTTGGACGAACTGCAAGCGATGAAGAGATGAGTGTTAAAGAGCTAAATAGAGAGAATTGCAGTATTCCAGTCTAGAGGTGATGGAGGCATGAATAAGTGTTTCTAGGCCTCTTGGAGGAAGATCAGGTTTAGCTTTGGCAATTTCACGCAACTGATAAAAACTTGTTTTCACAACTGTAAACTATTATGAATCCATTTCAGCTGGTTTGGTGCAGAGGATGTAGACAACAGGTTTGCTGGAGAAGCAGCAACAGGGCAACTCCTTAAAAGCAACCCCTCCAACCCCTCCTGGCTGATTTAATTATTTATTTATTTATTTATTTAATTTTATTTTTTTTAATTAAAACTACAGCCTGAGATGGTACCTGCACAGATAGGGCCAGTTGGTGATGTACTAGTGCAAACTGGGTTTTGGCATTAAAAACAGTAATTTTGGTATTTACACTGTACTGATACAATTGTTTATAAGAATTGTGTAGAGATTTTTTTGCAACTGACCATTTTGCATGTGTATATCTGGGAGTTCCAAGTGTAGGGAGGAAAATGTTGAAATCAAGCATGCAAGTTTATTTTCTAACATTTGCAACATGCAATTTACTTCTAATGGTGCTGATAATTAACACAGATAAAAACAAAAAAACAGGTTTTATTTTTTGTGCTTGATATTCAAATGAACTGAGTGTGCCCGTGTTTAGAAAAAAGCGCAAATTTTGTTAATCACTAGTAAAAGTAACCACATCTATGAGCTCTGAGGATTGGATTTGCATCCTATTTTCCCTGTTCAGAAAATCTGGCTCATAGTCAGTCTCCTCCAGGATGGTACGTTCATATATGTCATGGCATTTATGTCGGAAGTTTTGGTTCCTACCAAAGAGGTTTTTGCTGTTCCAATGGAAAAACCCCTGAACAAAAAACAAAAAAAATTCACTAGGACTGATGAAAATCTCTGTAATTCCTTTTAAAAATTGTTTAAGTAGGCTTTAATATACAAGAGCTTATCATTTTTCTTCTTTCTGCTAAGAAAATGGTGGAAAATGATGCCAAAAGGCATCAGACCATAGTCTTGTAAATAGGGACCTTTTCTGATTTGTGACATATGTTAAGTCTTTTAAACATTAAACCTTAAGTCTTTTCAGTGTAGCTGGTGTAGCCACCGCCACAGAAATGCAGGCTTGATGCTAATTCTCCCATGTGAATGCCACCTCAGCGGCTCACTGAGCTACACCGGAGCCATGTGTGTGCCCTCAGCCTTTAATTTCATCCATCTTTTAGGAGCCCTGTAATCAGAAGGATGCTGTAATATGAAGTTGAATCATTCAGTTCATTACAGTCTTCCTGTTTTCCCTGCAGGAACTCAAAGGAGGAAAGGCGTACACTAAGGTAAGAGCTCCTCACCTCTCACATTCATAAACACATACACTTACAGATGAGCTGTTTCATGTAAATATTAGCATTCCCTGAAGTGTTTGACCAGCATTCCATCAGCCGGACATGAAAATGAATCATATTCCCTTCACATTTGCCCAGAATCTGCAGAAACATCCTGTTAGTGCCTTCCTATCCTTAACTGTAACTGTAACCGTAAAAGCTCCGAACAAATGAGTAGCGTCTCGTAAATGTAACTCCAAGGTTAAACCCCCTCGTGCACATAAACTTTTGTTGATCCCTGGACGTTGCTGCCCGACAGGAACCGTTTCCTCTGCATTCGCCTCGTTCTTGATTTAGATTTCCTTCAGTTAAATATACCTCGCTTCCCTCCTTAGAAGACGGCTTCCTTAAACACACACCTAAGAAAACAGGACCTACCCCAAAGAATCCGGGAACACTTTTCTTGAGAGGGCTATAAAAATAAAATAAAAATAACATCGTTTCCACCTGGCAAAAAGCTCTGTGGTTTGATTTTGAGATAAAGGTCATGCAGACCCTTTCTTATCAGTGTGATCAGTGGCTGTCTTTAAATCCCTGATTGATATCTACAACCAGTTCATCAGCATTAAAACATTTACTGATAAGAAGTGGAGGAAGAGATCTTTTATCAAGTGGTTTAGGGTGAAAAAAGCAGGATTATTGAAGGAGTATTAAAAGGGATTAAAGGATCTGCCTTATGGCTTGTAAACAGGGCTGCTGTACATAAGAAAAATAAGATCCTGAGATGGAAATGTTAAATTGTGTGGTTTGATAGATGGTGGAAGCAAATCATAGACAATAAAGGTTATTTTATAAATCAGTTTATAAAGATTTCATGGTTTTAATCTTACTGGCTCAATGTTGTGCTCACGTGAATGTAGTAATGTCGGAAATCTGCGAATATTTGCTCCCGAATTGGTGATTGCAAATTGGATGAGAGGTAGGCTGCTTAAAGAGTTTACCATAAAGCTGTGAATGAAGGTGGTTTGTAGTCTAAGGTGCTTTGAGTGGTCAGTAAGATTAGAAAAACACTATAAATGTCAGTCCATGTCTTGTTCAGCTCATTTCCAGGTCCTTATTTCCATTCTTGCACTCTACTAGAGTAGCTTTGCATGATTTCAAGTTCAAAATAATCCTTATCGCATACCAGATTAAACAGACCTATTAAATCCTCTCACTTTCATGCAACTTTTTTCTGATGAACTGCCTTGCGCATGCAAAAGGAATAATGTGCAGGTGGATGGGGCTTCTGTGCTCTTAAGATGACCATATTAGGGATATCCCCTCTCCATGATATCATAAGGCCAAGAGTAGAAAAACACGTCAGAAACGAAGCTCTTAAGCAGTGTTTGGCTCACGAGGACCTCAAAAATTGGTCATATTTAATGAGAATTAACCACTGAACATTTAATATATAAAAGAAAAACTCATCTGTCGAGTAGCATAAACAGAAAGTGCCACACTTATTTACTAATGTTTATGACCATGCAACAAGTGGATTGCTTTTAACCTAAATGTTTAATGTTTATCTGTTGTAAATCTGCCATCCTAAAAAGGAGTAAGACATCTGAAACAGTTGGGCTTTGAAGTGGTTTGACAGATAATTATAAAGGAAAGAAATGGATGTTTAAAGTCTGCAGAGGACATTTAAAAGGAAGACTGTAGTTTCTACAACAGAGAACCAGTGAAAGTGAAGATTAATCAAACTAAAACTGATAAGATAAACTGATGTTATGAAACTATGTAACATCAGTACAATAAAAAAAAAAAAGGATACTTAAAACAACTTTCAAAATGCAGGTTTCACTCTCAGTCTGGGTTGATGTCTGTAAAGACTGACTTGTGGTTTTTGCACTCTGTCATCTGCTTCACACTTCAAACGCTTGTGACGATAACGGCGTAAAATTACTTGGCTTGCTAAATGATGGGTGTCTCAGAAATCTGCTTTACCTCGAACGTGTGCCAAAAATAAAGACCGGGGAAGGCCTCCATTAGAGCAGCTTGAATTAACTCTGTTCAAACTCCTCTTCACGCCCAGCTGGGCTTCACAGACCTCAACATGGCGGAGTTCGCAGGTTCGGGCTCCACCGTGCGCTGCTGTCTGCTGGAGGGATATGACACGAAGAACACACGGCAGGACAACTCCATACTGAAGGCAAGGAGCACTGAAATAGGAATAATGGATGTTTATTAAGAAGTGAACAGACTGGACAGACAGAGAATGAGGAGGAAGTTGTCCCCTCTTTTATTTAAAGCTGAGTTGTGATGAGATCTGCCTCCTTCCAGGACCAGTGTCATGTCTTTTTCACCTTCATTGTGTTTGTGTTTTATGATGATAGTGTGGTGCTGAAATACTCAAAAAAAAACTGCTGCATTAAAAGGAGACTAGCTGGTACCTGGTTGGACATCCTTAACAGCCTTAATTCAACAGTGTGCTGGAAAAATTCCCCAAAGCTTTTGGTCCATGTTGACATGACAGCATCACACAGCTGCTGCACATTTGTCAGCTGCACATCCAAGATGTAAATCCTGTGTTATAACACATTATAAAGGTGTTCTATTGAGATCTGAAGGCCATTTGGGTTCAGTGAGCTCACTGGCGTGTTCAAGAAACCAATTTGAGGCGATCATGCAGTGGTCATAAGGGGGATGGACACGATCAGCAAAAGTACTCGGGGAGGGTAAAATGATGCTCAGTTGGTACTAAGGGTCCTAAAGTGTACCAAGAAAATACCCCCCACACTATTACACAACCACCAGTAGCCTGAACTGTTAGTACGATACAAATAAAATAATTAGTCTGTGAATTTATTTCTTAATCTGTGAAATTGGTTTTTATGCGTTTTTTTTTTTTTCTTCAATAACTGTTTAGTGTCCTTGACAAAAAAATAAATTTAAAAAAACAGGCGTCGTTTTAGGCTTCAAGAAATGTTTCTCTTTTTAATTGAAATTGTTTTTGTATAAACACAATGGAAATGAGCACAGCTTACGATGAAGCTGAGTCACTTCATTGCCTTTGTGGATGATGGAGGCTGGGAAGTTCAGGAACTCTATGGCGCCACCCAGTGACCATGAACACAAACCACTCTGTGAAGCATAACAGTCACGAGTCTTTTTGTCATCTCGAGTTTCTGGAAGACTTTGTGTTGCGCAGATGTTTGTGACTCACACGTCACAGATGGGATTAATGGGAACTACTCCAGGCTTTTCCAGTTGATGCTCATTACTTCTTAAGAAAACGGTCTTTTCAGTTTAGTCACGTTACATCTCGGCATGAGCGTAAGATGGACATTTTTGGGAGGTTTCAGCCACTGGGTTAGGGTCTGACTTCACTTTGAAACTGAAAGGAAAATGAAAAATGAAAGTGAAGAAAACAATGTGTTGAACAAGTAAAATAAAATAAAATCTGCCAGCTTTAGGTTACATTACAACAGTGAAATGAAAAGGTTTACATGTGTCCAGTTTGGGTAGCGCCGATAATTATTTTCACACCGCCTTAGTCAACAAGCGTCTGTATCGACAAAACCATTTGAACCATTTTCCTTTGAGTGATGTGTGAATAACTTTATACTGTATAAGTTGTAGGTTTGTGTTCCTGGTTGGGTAAAATATATTCATGCATGTTTTAATTCAGAGGTCTGAGGTGGTAGAGAGAAGGCCAAGTCTTTTTCCCGTTGAAATTACTGTTGTCGTTTCTGAGGTACATATTAACTTAGTCTGAATATGAGTTTTTTCCTTGTATTAATTATTTTTATTAATTTATCTGATCATTTAGGTGGTTCCAGTGAGTTATTATTAAGTTTGATTTAGATTTAATGATGGATTTAAGTAAGGTAATTGGAAGCAATTAAAACGGGTAATTAAGTTGTGGAAACATCTTCATTTTAACTGTGGATAAAGGGCTGATCTGGAAGTTGTCATATTTAGGTTGTGTATAAATATAAGTCTTGTAGTTTCAGCTGAGTAATGCCAGAGAAGCTGGTTTTGTCAGGCATGCTGCTTGTTTGGATGTTCGATATCGTTTCCTTCATGGTTTTGTTTTCTTGAATTTTTCGATGTAGTTATGCATGCATTTAAGACTTGATAGGAGTTTTTTTTATTTTATTTTGTTATGTTGTGCTCCAAGTAAGTCCAGTTTTTTATTTATCGATGCAAGAACACTGACTTCGATATCTGTTGTCAGGTCGCTGGTGTCGGTGGATGATGTCGTCTTGCCTCTGTGAGGTTTCGGCATCTCCTGTTGCGTTGTGGATTTATCCATATTATGCATCGTGAACTGGTAGTAATGATTATCAGACACTTAGATGAAAGATTTAAAGGTATTGAAAAGTGTCATGAAAAGGTTTGTTTACCCTGAGTGGATGTGTGTGTGGCCATGATGAATCTGATGAATGAATCCATGATGAATCTTGTGACAAAAGTAGTGCTTAAATAAGCTTTACATTGAGATACAGTATCACAATCAAAGATTATTCTTTAGTTAGGGCTTTAAAGTACTTTTTGTTTGTTTGTTTCATTGTCTGAAATCAATTTCCTGTTTGAGATGTCCTTCAAATGACAGAGTTTTTAAAAAATGCTCTTTTAATTTTTTCCCCAAAAGGTGATCATTGGGATGACCCTCCTGTCGGGAGATCCGTGCTTTAAAACGTGAGTAATCCTCAGTGTGAGATGTAAGATGTCACAATGAATTCTCAAAAGATGTGCTAAATGATTAAAACTGATAAATAAATGTGTGATTAGCTGTGCATGCCGGGCTCAGGCATCCTCTAGGTTGCTAGGGAAAAATGTGCTGCAGCAAAAACCTTGCGATTGGTTTGACTGGTGCCAGATTTACGTAGTTGCCTGCAGTTTGCATGGAAGATGATGACTTGTCTGCAAACACTACTTGCTGGGCAGTAGTAGTGACACTGTGAAAAGAGTGCCACGAACTGGAAACGGGAACTCTTGCCTCCAAAATAAACCTTTGGAAACATTGTGGTTGCCGTGATAAGGCACAACTTTTACTGTGAAGGCGGACATACTCCAGACCACAGATAATAGTTTTTAAAGTGTTTTTTTTTTTTTTATTGTGGGGGATTTTAGTTACACTTTGGAAGTCTTGAAGATTTCTGTTTATTTTTTCTTTATTTAATATTTGTGAAAGTAAAAAAACAAACAGACTATACATTTCCAGCTTAATAAACAATATTTTCTACAGTATTGCATAGCAGTAAAACCTTTTGCGCAATCCACTGGTATTTAATATGTTACTGGTATTTAAAGTTCATTTCAACCAGATTCCTTAGTGCTTATAACTTTGTGCTGTTCTGTCCTTTGTTGCCAAAATGACTCAGTTTTTCCTCCCTCAATAAAACAAATCTTATCTGAGCGTGCCAAGCTAAGCAGAACTGCACCGCTGTCCCCATTTAGTCTGTCCCAGGCTGATAAGCTGTGTATCTTTTCTCTTTTCCTTTTTTTACCCTGCAGACCTCAAAGCACAGCAAAGTCCATCTCCATCCCAGGACAGGAGCACACCCTGCAGCTGGACTGCAAGGGGGAGGGCACTGCTGAGCCTGGACCGCCGGGAGGGGTTTCCCTGGGCCGAGGTTCCAAACATCGGCCTTCCATCATCAGCTCAGGTACACGACGTGTGCTGCAGCCACGAAGAAATAGGACTGAAACTGAGCATCTGTAGCAGGCTGAAGCCTAAACCTTGGGCATGTTTTATATGACCTTTCATCATTTTAGCAGGTTTAGTATTACAGAAAAATAAGGAAAAGCGCAATATGTCTGAGAGGAAGAGACTGGTAATACAAAGAGCAAATATGTAAATGATCAGTATATTATACTTGGAAGGTGCAAGGTGTACTTTACTGTTTATCTTGAGTTTTAGGGAGATATTTGGAAGGATTTGAATTTGATGAGCAGATTTTCTTTGGATTCTGAATCAATAAAATGATTTTACACCCCCGCAGCTGTTTTCCAGGTGCAGTGAAGTTTAAGTCGGAAGAGATTTGAGTTGAATCCACGGACAGATTTCTCTTCATCATAACGATCCACGAATGTTAAAGCCAAACGGCTTCTGAACTCGGTGGCATCTGTCAGACTGAAGGATAAATCCCACTGAAGTAATGTCTAAAACAAATGAGATTAAGAAAAGTATGAAAGATCAGATAATGTGTTCTTGAAACTGGACTCCGATCTTTTAGATCTCGGCCCAACTTTCCTAAATCTCAGCCAGATGTTTTTCTTGGAGCCAGAAATTCCCAGAGTTAATTTTCTTTGTATGGGAAAACTAGCCGACTGCGTTTAGGATTTTAGGTTTGAATTATAAAAAGAAACCTGTTTTCGTTTCAGACTTGGAAGGCTGAGTTTGTTAACCTTTTCCATGCAAAGAAAACGTGCAGATCCTCAACCACAAGCCGTAAATGTATAGATGGTTAGATTTCTGCTGCGAAAGTGAAAAGACTGCATTATGTCTGCTCTTTACAGACATTTTTACCAATTATTATCACGTATGAGGTGGTAACAGTGGTGCTTTTTTTCTTCTTTGTGTACCTTCAGGACTCCTGGAGGAATCTGAGGTGAATCCGTCGGTTCCCGCAGAAGCTTTCCAGTCTGGTCACTCTCGTAACTCCAGCTATGCCAGCCAGCACAGCAAAATCTCAGGTACACAATCTCAGGTCTCACACGGATGTTTCATCCATGACGGGGTGAGCATGATTTTAACACCGCTGCTGTTTAGCATCTGACACTGATGTCTTCATGGCCTTCTGCAGGATACAGCACGGAGCACTCCTGTTCCTCCAGCCTGTCGGACCTCACGCATCGCAGAAATACCTCGACAGGAAGCAGCACCTCCGGGGGCTTGTGCTTCACGGTCGACACCCCCCCAGATGGGGACAAGGACGCTGGACGTCCGGAGAGACCCCCTCGACCCCCACGACCAGTTTTACCCCCAAATAGGCCTCCGAGGTACACACAGAGTACGCTTGGTCGTGTGATTGGTAGCCTAGTTCTGTTCAAACTACACAATCTTCATTCTCCACTGTGTTTCAGGAGGAAGCAGGACTTGGTGGAGAGTCACCCCTCCTGGGTGAACGACACTCGCATGGATGCCGACGACATCGTGGAGAAAATCGTCCAAAGCCAGAACTTTGCAGACATCAGCCACACTGAAGGTACAAAAAAGTACCTGAAACAGCTCATAAAGATTTTTTATTACACAATCTCACTTGAAGCAGCGAAACTGGAGGTAAAACCTTCCTGAAAAGACCACACAGTGAACTTATATTTGACTGAATCACCTGAAAGTGTTTGATGGCTGGGATGCTGGTTGACACCAAAATAAAAGTGTCCAAAAGAAATTAAGAAAAGATCAAAAACATGCTGCTTGGTACAATAATTTTTCAGAGGATATACAGTTTACTTATTTCCGGAGTGTTTTCAAAAAGTTTACTGGGTGCTGAACGCAGATTCACGCTTTACCGGCAATTTGTAGTCTGTGTAAAGCTGATGTGAATTTGTGGGAAATGATGTCATCACCAGCCGTAGCTGCAGACCGTAACTCTTCAGTAAGGCCTCATTTGTTTACAGTGAATCTCTTCATATGAAGCTCTCACAGGTAATTTGACAGCAGCTCATTGATGCCTAAAAGCAGAAAAAGGCAGCTGCTGCACCATCTTTGGCCCGAGCGCTTCTTCAGTTTTCCGACTCTGTGCTCCGTCGCCTTCTCTTCGCTGTGCCTTCTGGTTTCCGTCAGCTGGCCTTAACTCCGTTTCTGTGTTTCTGGACTTTCAGACAGCAACCTGCGCCTGTTCGTCAGCAGAGACGGAACCACGGCGCTCAGCGGCATCAGGCTTGGAAATAGGTGAGGAGCTCTGCTGTCTTTGTTTTTGGTTTATTTCTCACTTCCCAGAACTTGAGTTTCAGTATTGGAGTGCAGGAGCTGCATGAAGTCTAGTCGGTTTCCAAAAATACTGGAAAATCACAGCAATGTAATAATTTACATACCGTAAATCTCCCTCTGAGGACCCAACTTTTAAATATGAATTTAAAGCCCTGTCATCCTCTTCCCCTTGTTTCACCATTTCTATGTCACTCTCCCTCTTATGAGAAGCTCAAATAGGCTCCTATGATTTGGTGGCTTCTTCCTTTTTCTAAGAGTTATGGCTGTAATTCACAGCAGTTATGGAGCACTAGAACTCATTCAGTTAAATGTCAGGTAAATCGGCCTGTCCAGTCAGAAGCATAAACTATTGTGAGTCCTTTTCAGCTGCTGTATGAAAATGATAACTTCCAGTTATAGTACACTGTGCTGTTCTGAGCTCAGGTCCCACTGGAGGATGCTCGACTCCTCATGAAGTCTGATTATGACAGTCTGCTTAGAAACATGCATGAGTCACTCACTGGAGGTCCTTCTGTAGGGCTCTGGCTCCCCCAGCTCCTCGTTGCACAAAGGAGCAGATAGCAGTTCTACTACTGGGTCGATGGCGTTGCCAGCTCTTCTTGTGTAACAGCCTCTCTCCTAGTATCGCTGTAATACTTTTGAAACTGTGCTTTGATGGAGCAAACCTTCTCGGGGCTGCAGGTCCTGTCTCAAGCTGTGATGAGGTGATAAGCACACTAACAAAAAGCAAAACTATAGAACAATCAGTGAGGAGGGATGAGGAGAGAGAAATGGATTCACTGTGGTTTATGCTTCCTGACTATGTAGATTGATTTCCCTGAAGTGGTTTCCCTGTGATGATCCAGTGTTCCCTCAATTATTTTTAGGAGGGTTTTTTGCTTTTTTCAACAAAACTGATTATTTTGAAGATAAAAGTTTTTAATAACTCACAAGAACAGAATCAGCATTACGGTTGGACCAGAGAGAGAGGAGGTCAAACATGGATCATAGAAACATGAAATCATAAAGTGCATGTATAAGACGAGGGCTAAATTACTGCTAGTGTGAACCAGCACATCCGTTCTCCATTTAGAAGCATATATCATGCATCTGAATGTGAAACATGCACAGTTCAGTCCTATAGTCCACTTTCTTTTTTAATCCGTTTTCATGTCTGTTTTCCCTGTTTAATGTGGAGAAACGGTAAACTGAATTCTGCTTGCTATTGCTAACTCTGATTCTCTGTGTTTGGATCCCTGCAGGGTGCCTGCTGGTGGCTATGAGCCCGTGGTGATCGAGAGCCATTAAACCGAGCAGCAGGAGAGGCGACACGTGGACCAGCACGTGCATCAGCTTGACTTTTTGTTAGTTTTTGGGGTTTTTTCCTGGAGCTTCAGCTGGTCTGACGCCGTGAGAGGAAAACCTTATCAGTGTGCACTTTACGTGAAGTTTGTGGCAGCGCTCGAGCTGCGCTCCGTTAAGCTGTTTCTGTGACGTTTAAAAGGCGGCAAAAATGCACAAAAACGTTTCTCCTGAGCTGCTGCTGTGACACAGTAACAGCAGGTTTTATAGATTAAAAAATATTTCAAGCATTGAGCTGATTATTAAGCTTTGTAATAAATATACACTAATCCAACGTGTTTTTAGCTTCAGAGCTGCCAAAATTCCTTTAAAATGCACGTTTAAGACGGCAGTAATCGATTGAACACTAACTGGATGCAGTACGTACTGAAAACTTTCATGTACTACATGCATGAAAATACGTACTGCTGCCTTTAAATACCTCTCAGATCTCAGTAAGAAGGGCAGGGAAGGGCGCCTTTGTTAAAAAAGAATTATGGAAAGGTTTCCATCTCCAGAAGTCCTCATCTGAGGCTCAGCAGCCAAGCAGGATAACTCCCTGCGCATAAATGATTAAAAAGTGCCCAATTCTGAAGCATCTGATCTCCCATTGAAGGCACCAAATCAACACTGAATGTGATCCAGATGTTAAACAAAAAACAAAAAAACACTGAGCAGAAACTTTTTGTTTTAGTTTGAAGTCGTCTCCTGTTGATCAGGGAAATCACTACAACCACTCTGTGCCTGTAAAGTTTCTCTTAAATGACCCTAAAGCACGATGAAAACTGTTAAGTCAGAGTGCTGGTGAAGAGAGAACTGTTTGTTTGTTTGTTTGTTTGTTTGTTTGTTTGTTTGTTTGTTTGAGGGGTTACTCACTTCAGCATGCTTAAGTTTCGAGCTGCACTTTTGCTCACTCTCATCAACGATCAGTTAGTTAATTCTCTCCTCAGAAAAACACTAGCTCCATGCAGTAAACTGGCGATGGCCTTTTGCTGCGAAAGCCTCTGTCGCCCCCTGGTGGAGGGACAGGGCTTTGCAGGGTGCTTTGTTTAACAGCAGATCAGCAGAGTTTCTGTGTTGCCAACCAGCGGGCTGGTTTAAGCTTCTTTTAAAGAAAGGTTTCAGCTGCTCTACAAAGTTTTCCACCTCAGGATGGAAAATTGATTTCTATCCTAAAGAAAGAGTCTTAAAATCTTATTTTTCTTTTGTAAAACAATCAAAAAAAAAAAGCTGATAATGCTGTGAATTGCATAAAAGTTGTGCCTTGTATGTTTACTAAACTCATGGCTGAGTTAAAACAGGTCATGTTGCTGAAGAATAAAATATATTTTTCTTTATTAAATGTGTAAAAATATAATGGAAATACATAGATTTCTCATAGATAACCAGCCTGGAGAAATTCAGACAGTGATAAAGGATCTTATCTTTTCAGTGTTGTGCTCTTTTATATACATTTTAACCAGTTTCTTTAAGAGAGCTTTCAGTTACTCAAAAGTAAAATAGATTTTTGTTTATCTGATTAACAGGAATGTGAAAAAAGATTTTTTTTGTGTGTGTGAAGAAGAGCAGGACAGTTAAACCGGCCTTTTTTGTTTGTTTGTTTGTTTGTTTGTTTGTTTGTTTGTTGTCTTTAAATAATTTGTTCGCCCCTTATTGTATTTTAAAGATTAGAGACTCAACAGTTTTAGATTCAATTACTGATAAGAAATCATTTTTAGTGTTTAGGTTTTGAGTTTGTAAAGGCGTCCTGATGGGCTCTGAGAAGCTGTTTAGAGACGCCGTAGCTGCAGAGGTTTAAGAATTTATAGTAAAATGAAACCGAGAAAAACAACAAATTGCTCTCCATGTTTACTATTTTAAAAGGTAAGATTTTAAGACTCTTTATCAGTGAACTTGTTATCTTTTTTCCTGTTCTGCTTCACATTATGCTCATTATAGATTTTATTATAGTTTATTAATCACACAGTTAGTTATTCTCACATTTGGGGATGAACCACTTTAGTCAGAGTTTAGGGTCACCAGAGCCTCTTGATTTAGTTTAAAGCCTTTATTTATATGGTTTTGGTTCTGTTTGGAGGTTTGTCATAAGCTATGCACACAACTCGCCTCCCTGTGCTTTTGTTTTTTTTCTTTTAGCAAATTCTTCTATTATAACGAAACTAGTGTAACCTAAATTTATAGAGATTGAGTTGGAAATTTTCTTCCAAACACACAATAGTTACAATGATCCTTTATTTTTTTGTATATTTCTTTTAAAAGATGACTTCTAAACAATAAAAAGCTAACCCGAGTTTGTCGTTGTGTTTTTCATTATCTTAATATCATGTAATATGATATATATAATATAATAAAACAGAGTCACAAGGATGCTTAACAGAAAGAGCCATCCGTTTTCTGTTATTAGTATTTTTCACCAAATCTTAGACATTTGTTAAGGTCTACCTCACTGAAACTACATGAACCACAGCTGTAAAGTTACAGCAGTTCATAGCATCGTTACTAGAATGGTTTAAATGTTTTTATACTGACTCTATAATCTGCTGCAAAGTCTCTTCTGTATTGAAAATGCAGCTACTAGAACACCTGCTCATGCAGAGTCATAAGAGAAAAACTGGCAGTCACTTTTTAGCAAAACACGAGCAACTCTACACCTCTGGTCCGATCCGTGGTCTCCTCAAAGCTCAACAGATCACAACATTTGATGTTTTTATCTTCTGGTCCAACATTTTCAGAACTTCAGAGCTTTCATTGGTTGATTTGCTTGAAAACGTAGACAATAAATTAGATGTAATATCAATAACAGCATGTGGATACATTTCCAGGATCATCCTACTATATATAATCCGAATTATGGAATGAAAATACTCCTTCAATATTGGGCCAAATTATTTAAGTGCAATCCTCCAACTCCACCAGCAGAGAGCGCTCTACACAACCGTATCAGCTCTTCGCTCAGCTGGTAAATAACCGGAGGGAAATAATCGCCACTTGCTTCTGCATTAGACTTCAAATGCATTTGCCAGAGTTATTATATTTTAAAGATCTGACTGTATTGTATTATCATCCTCTCTACTCTTAAGATCAGGCTTCAGTCGTTTCTTTTTAACAAGCGTATAGTAAAAGTTTGACTTATAGGTTTAAATTCAATCCCTAAATTTGACCCTTACATGCTCTTTTGGTCAAATGTGACAGCAGCAAAAATAATTTAAATATCATTTTTCAGCCTGAAATTTAATTAATTTTTATAAAGTGGCCCAAAATGCACAATTTAAAAAAAACAAACAAAGAAAAAAGTTTAATACTGTTATATAGCTGGCACAATTTTCTGTAAATTGAGGCATGATGGTGGTTTTAGAGAACTTTCGGGAATGATGACACTTGGACATGAGCACATAAGGAACCGAACATACAGGGGTCAAAGGGCACCTTGAGAGATGGTTGCTGAGTTAGAAATAGGGCAGCAGAGTGCTACAGTGGTTCATACGATCAGCTCAGGGATTCTGGTTCCAATCCTGGCAGGAGAGTTTCTGTGTGGATGTTTGAACCACTTCAGAGTACCTGAAGTGGGTTTCCTCCAGTTTCCTCCCACAACCCAGAAACAAGCATGTTAAGTTAACAGGTAACTCGAAACTGGGAGGGAGTCTAAGTGGGCAGTAAAACTAGGAAAGCGCAATATAAAAGCAAATACATTACATCTACAACTGCAAGCTTAAGTCCCCATAATAAAAAAATTGAACCTCTGACAAATTAAAATCACTTTATTCTGAGTTAATAGATAACGAAAGGGAGTTGGGGGAAGTCATAAGATCATAAATGTGCTTGATCTGCCATTTCAGTGAGAGTGGGAACCCACACATAAACCCACATAAAGTTTCCTGCCACAGACTGGCCGACAATAAGCATGTTTTGTGCTCTGTGAATTAATATTCATATTTATGATGAAAAACAGGACATGCTCTCATCCTGCGCTCTGAAACATTAATCAGGATTAATTGTTCATTTATTAATTTCAGGCTATGTATACACTATAAATGATTCTCTAGACACTTGCAGTCTAGAAAGTTGACCCAAACCATAGACTTTGAGCAGTATGTAAGCGTTATTTTACCCTAATTCTTTGAGTTATTCTTTGGGGGGGGAGTTTTCATTTTGGGAAAGTTTTTTTTTTTTTTTTTTAATTGTTGTTCAGTGTAAGGTCAACAAATTCCCTTATCATCCCACAGTGGTGGGGATATGGAAAATATTATTATATGGAAGGGGAGTTACTTCTAAAACCTGCAGGACACCGGCCCTTGAAGCCTGGAGTTCCCCACCCCTAATTGGACGGTCATGAACGTTAACATTCAGCAGAGGTCCCCAATCTCAGTCCACGAGGGCCGGTATCCCTTCAGGTTTTAGATCTCACCCTGGGTCAACACACCTGAATCACATGATTAGCTCATTACCAGGCCTCTGGAGAACTTCAAGACATGTTGAGAAGGTAATTTATCCATTTAAATCAGCTGTGATGGATCAAGGACACATCTAAAACCTGCAGGACACCGGCCCTCGTGGACTGAGATTGGGGATCCCTGACATTCAGCATGCTCGCTGAGGCCTGCAGAGTTTGGGGTTGCTTGTTGCAGTTTCTCTGAACATTGCAGAGTCTGACTTTGCGGCGAATTTGCTGGGACGTCCACTGTTGTGTTAAGAAAGACAGTTTTTCACATGACTTGCACCTTAGCACCCTCATATCTAAATATGATCACTTTAGCAAAAATCCAACATTACGGCATCCAAAATGTTAATGCTGTAAATTCAGAGTTGAGCGACAGGCTGGTGACATCACAGCGGCTACATCTTAGGTGGGATTCCCTCATCGCCTTCGGTTTGGCAACACAAGAACTTTTCAACTTTTGCGAAATATCGAGTCTCGTCCTCGTTTCTTATCTAATACTGACGAGCTTACTACGATGCACAGTCAGCACTTTCGCCATCTTTCCTTCATAGCTTTGCAATAACTTTGCAAAGACTTTATTTACAGAGGGCTTTTCCAGTCTCACCCCAGTGCATAAACATGCAGCACCTTTTGATTCTGTAATCTTGAATTGCAGCGCACACATCAAATATGACAGTCAGCAAAACGAGTGCCCGGACTTTATTCTTTTCAGTTCTGCTCAGAAACAGTGTTTTTTCTTTCATTTACTGATACAGAGAAGATGTGTGGTTAACACCTCGAAGCGTCGTAGGCATTAGCTACAGTTTATGAGCTCAAACCTCGCAGTTCTGGTCTAAATGGCATTAACAGATAGAGAGTTTCCTGTAGCTGGGGAATCAAGAATCCCACGTGTTAACTGCACTATAGAGATGGCAGTAAGTGACAGTTACTGTGAAATAGGATGTGGGACCTTTTATGGTTGCATGTCTACCCAGATGAATAGCTAAGCTGAAGAGCTTAGTTTGTTTCCAAGTGGAAAGTGAAAAGGCGTAAGGTCTGAGACTCTAAGGTGGAACTTTTTTTCATGTCAACATAAACAAACAGAACATAGTCAGAAACGTGTACATATGTTCAAACCAGCAATGAAAAGAGCAGGAAGTGGAATAACCATGGAAGTGTGGGCAGGCTGCAGGAGGGAGGGGGGTCTGAAGTTTCCATTATCGTCTCAGAATGATAAAAATGAGTCACGGTGACCATCACCCCCTTCAAACTTCAAATGTGAATCTTTCAAGGTTGAGTCTGCACATATGAGTAAATCCGTGGTCGGCCTGATGGTGGGTTATTTGTGGGTTTTGTGGTATTCAGGAATTTGGATTCTTAGTTCGAGTTTGCTGTTATTGTGGTGTCTAAATTTGGCTCTTGTGTTCACACCTTCATTATACGCTCGTAAAAAGCACTCGATCATCACAGTATACGCAAAGTCAGGCGTTCTTCAGGGATATTAGTCTGTCCAATAAAGAAGCAAAAACCAGTTGCTTTTCAAATCGAACAGACAGCAGGTGCACTGGAGAGACGACAGCAAGACAACCATCCACAGAGGGGATGTTTTGCAGGCCGCAGACCTTATTCCTTTTATTGTTTTTGCTTGTGTTATTGTTTCTGCCTCTAGCCTGAGATGCTAATCCACTCTTCAGGTTGCACAGATAGTCCAACTCCTCTTCCAGGACACACGCTGTCATGCATCCGAACCAACCCTTCCTGTGACATGCTGTCAAGGAAGGGTTGCTGTGTCTGCCGGCACACTCTCAGTGGTGCGGAGGAGAAGCTATGAGACACAAGGAGAGCTACACAGGACCACAGAAGGACATCAAGAAAGCAGCAGGACTCATATCTGCAAGAAAGAACAGGAGGAGTTGGACAAAACGACCTTCAGTGGGCCACTCCTGCATGTTTATGACCAACATGTCAAAATCAAACAGGATGAAGGTCTGGCATCCTTTAGCAGGACCTGCGTCACTGGAAAACACCCGAACTGGCAGATCCACCTCTGGTACCCTGATCTCTTCACAGATAATGGGAACAAAATATCCCACAGTTTCTCCAGACTTGTATCGGTTTTAAATGCATGCTT